TTTCCAATAATAAGGTTGGGGATTTGATAATATGGAGACACCCAAAGGAGTAAGCCCACTGTCTTTCTGATTGCAGGAGAGAGGTATAGTGTTGGCCAATCCAAGGCCAGGTGCAGTGACTCACACCTGCAATCCCAGCATTTTTAGGAGTCAAGGCAGGAGGATTGCCTGACCCCAGGGTGTGAGACCAGCCTGGGCAACAGGTGAGTATATCTCGAAAAAAAAAAAAAAAAGGAAATCCAGCCTTTTTTGTTCTGAGACATATTACTTAATATTTAAAGGGTAAATAAGCCAATAATAATAGTAATAACAGCAGCTGACACATAGGTGTTTCTATATGCAAAGCACTAATGTGCCTCTGTATGTTATATATGTTTGATTCTCATAACAAGTCTACCAAATTAAATACTATTAGCCCTGTCCATTTTATAGATGAAGCTAGGCAGAAAAGAAGAAAGAAAGAAAAGCTTGAGCTCCGTGATTGCCTGAGTCATTAAGTGGTGGAGCCAGGTTTCAAACTCAGGCAGTTTGTCCTTCAGTCCATGCTCTTAATCACTGTGCCATGTTGCTGCTCATTCACTGCAAGAAGATTAATGCAGGACCACGCTCCCAAAGGGAGCTCAAATGTGTTTTTGTGACGGCTGATATGGTTTGGCTCTGTGTCCCCACCCAAATCTCATCTTGACTTCATGCCTATGTTACATGTTGTGGGAGATGATATGAATCATGGGGATGGTTTCCCCCATACTGTTTTCGTGGTAGTGAACAAGTCTCATGAGACCTGATGGTTTTATCATTGGTTTCTGTTTTTGCATCTTCCTTATTTTCTCTTGCCGTCACCATGTAAGAATGCCTTTTTGCCTCCTGCCATAATACTGACACCTCAAGCCATGTGTGAACTGTGAAGTTCAATTAAACCTCTTTCCCAGTCTCGAGGTATGTGTCTTCATCAGCAGCGTGAAAACAGACTAATATAGCAAATTGGTACCAGAGTCTGCTGAAAAGACACCCCCAAATGTGAAACAATTTTGGAGCTGCATAACAGGCAAAGGCTGGAACAGTATGGGGGCTCAGAAGAAGACAGGAGAAAATGTGGGAGGATTTGGAACTTCATAGAGAGTTGTTGAAGGGGTGGCCTGCCCCTCCACATCTGTGGGCATTTCTTGTTAGGTGGAGCAGAGACTTGAGAAAAGAAATGAGACACAGAGACAAAATATAGAGAAAGAAAAAGAGTGGGCCCAGGGGACCGGCGCTCAGCAGCTACAGAGGACCAGCACCAGCACACTGGTCTCTGAGTTCCCCTCATTATTTATCGATCATTATTTTACCATCTGAAAAATGAAGTGGCAGAACAATAGGATCCATATTAGGAGAAGGTCAGCAGAAAGACCTTATGAATACAAAGATCTCTGTGACATGAATAAGTTTAAAAAAAAGGAAAAGTGGTGTGCCTTGATATGCATATGCAAACATCTCCATAAACCTTTTTAGTGCATAAAGAGCAGCATTGCCACTAGCAAGTCCCACCTTCAGCCTAAGGCAGTTTTCTCCTATCTCCAAATAGAATATACAATCAGGTTTTATACCCGAGAGTTCCATTGCCCGGTCAGGCAGGAGACAGATGCCTTTCTCTATCTCAAAATGCCACCAGGCCTTCTTTCCTCTTTTACTAATCCTCTCAAGTCACAGACCCTTCACAGGTGTCAAGCCAGGGGACCATTAGGTCTTTCCCTTCCCACGAGGCCATATTTCAGACTATCACATGAGGAGAAACCTTGGACACTACCTGGGTTTCTAGGCAGGGTTCCTGCGACCTTCCGCAGTGTATCTGTCCCTGATTGAGATTAAGAGAATGGTAATGACTTTTCACAAGCATACTGCCTTCAGGCACTTGTTTAACAAAGCACATCCTGCACAGCCCAAAATCCGCTAAACCTTGAGTCACCACAGCACATGTCTCTTGCAAGGACAGGGTTGGGGTAGGGTTACAGATTAACAGCATCTCAAATACAGAACAAAATGGAGTCTCTTATGTCTACTTCTTTCTATATAGACACAGTAACAGTCTGATCTCTTTCTTTTCCCCACACTTGTTGAGTGGCTTTGACCAAAAGCCTGACAGCAATATGGACAATGAGTCAGAGCTGGGGTGGTCTCAGATGGAGATGCGGAACTTGTCAGGAACTGGAGCAGAGTGACTCTTGTTATGTTTAGCAGAACACTGGTGGCATTTGCCACTGCCCTAGAGACTTGTGGAACTTTGAACTTGAGAGAGATGATTTAGGGTATCTGGTGGAAGAAATTTCTAAGCAGCAAAACATTCAAGATGTGACTTGGGTCCTATTAAAGGGATTCAGTTTTATGAGGAAGCAGAGCATAAAAGTTCAGAAAATTTGCAGCCTGACAATGTGATAAAAAAGAAAAACCCATTTTCTGAGGAGAAATTCAATCAGGCTGCAGAAATTTGCATAAGTAACAAGAAGCTGAATGTTAATCCCCAAGACAATGGGAAAATGTCTCCAGGGCATGTCAGAAGTCTTCACAGCAGCCCCTCCCATCACAGGCCTGGAGCCGAGGAGAAAATGGTTTTGTGGGGCAGGCCCAGGATCCCCCATACTGTGTCCAGCCTAGGGACCTGGTGTGCTGCATCCCAGCCACTCCAGCGATGGCTGAAAGGGGCCAATGTAGATAGAGCTGGAACTGTGGCTTCACAGGGTGCAAGCCCCAAGCCTTGGCAGTTTCTACATGGTGTTGTCTTTAGGTGCACAGAAGTCAAGAACTGAGGTTTGGGAACTTCCACCTGGATTTCAGAGATGTATGGAAACGCTTGGATGCCCAGCCAGAAGTTAATTTATTAATTTATTGCCTCTCAAATCCAAATCCACCACCTTTGTTTGCTTGTGTTACAAAGCTGGATTCTGTAAACATTTTCCTTTGCCAGTTGGTACAAAGATTTAGACTTTGTCAACCACAGAGGGATGCTGGAGGGACAATGCATGGCCATAGGAAGAGAAACTAACTTATTTTCCTGGTACCAGTGTGCTGTTCTACTTTATTTATTTGATTTTAATTATTTGCTGCAGGGGCAGGGATGTCATGGAGAACCTCTGCTAGGGCACTGCAGAAGGGAAATATGGAGGTCGGAGCCGCCATATGGAGGTACCTACTTGGGCACCTTCTAGTGGAGCTGTGAGAAGAGAGAGACCAGCCTCCAGACCCCAGAATGGTAGATCCTACAGTTTGCACCATACCTGGAAAAGCTGCAGGCACTCCAGCACCAGCCTCATGAAGGCAGCCAAGGTAGAGCTGTACCCTGCAAAGCCACAGAAATTGGAAGTGCCCAAGACCATGGGAACCTACTTTCCATCAAGCTGACCTGGATGTGAGACCTGGAGTCAAATGAGATCATTTTTGCAGGTTTAAATTTGACTGCCTTGCTGGATTTCAACTTGCATGGGCCCTGTAACCTTTGTTTTTGGCCAATTTCTCCATTTTGGAACAGTTATTATTTACCCAACAATACCTGTACCAGTTGTATCTGAAGTAACTAGCTTGCTTCTGACCTTCTGAACTCATAGGCAGAAGGGATTTGCCTTGTTTCTGATGAGACTTTGAACTGTGGATTTTGGGTTAATGCTGAAATGAGTTAAGACTTAGGGGAGTGTTTGAGGCACGATTGATTTTGAAATGTGAGGACATAAGATTTGGAGGGGCCAGGGGCAGAATGATGTGGTTGGCTCTGCGTCCCCTCAAATCTCATCTTGAGTGTACTCCCATAATCCCACATTTTGTGGGAGGGACATAGGAGAGAGAATTTGAATCATGGGGCAGTTTCCCCCTATTCTCATGGTGGTGAGTAAGTCTCATGAGATCTGATGGTTTTCATCATTAGGTTTCTGCTTTTGCATCTTCCTAATTTTCTCTTGCCACCGCCATGTAAGATGTGCCTTTCACCTCCCACCATGATCCTGAGGCCTTCCCAGCCATGTGGAACTATAAGTCCAATTAAACCTCTTTTTCTCTCCAGTCTCAGGTGTGCCTTTATCAGCCACAAGAAAATGAACTAATCCACTGGGGAAGGTCAGGGATTTGATAACATGGACACTCAAAAGCAATAAGCTCATCTATCTTGTAATTTCAGAAGAAACCAAAATTGCCATACAAAAGGAGGCAATTTCATCAGAGATATCAAGAAAGAAAAATATGAGGTCTGAGAAAAAGAGAATTGATTTCTATTGAAATGACAGCCAATTATTTTTATTCTGAGGCACATAAATACAGATTTGCGTAACTATCATGGTATATTGGGAGGCGAGCAGTATGCTGAATTATTAATTTATTGCCTCTCAACTCCAAATCCACCATCTTTGTTTTGCTTGTGTTACAAGATGGATTCTATAAACATTTTTCCTTTGCCAGTTGGTACAAGATTTAGACTTTGTCAACAGAGGATGCTGGAGGGACAATGCATGGCCATAGGAAGAGAAACTAACTTATTTTCCTGGTACCAGTGTGCTGTTCTACTTTTATTTGTTGATTTTAATTATTTACTGATGTGGCTGCTAGCAGATCAACTTGTGGAAGGCCTGGTGGCACTTACCTAGTGGGCTGCTTCCTGTGAGCCAGTTCCAGGCCCAGCCACACCATCCTGGCAAGTTCTCCCCATCCAACAGGCCACTTCCTGTGGACGAACTCCAGATTGCCCTCCTCCCCCAGTGAATTAATTCACCACCCTTTAGGCCACTCCCACAGCCCAGCTCCAGCCTGCACCCTGGCAGGTTTCTTTACCAACAGGGTGTGTGGTAGCCTGAGTTCCTGTGATAGCCACAGTGTCTCTAGTGAAGTCCACATCTCAGCTTTGGCAGGGAAAGGTCTTCTGAGTTCTTTGTTCCTCCCTCTTAGACTGCCCAGCACTGGTAGAAGAGTGATATTTGTATTTTTAGGAATCATAGAATGATCTACTTATCATTTCAGATTCTGAAAACAGGAATAAGATGAAGGAGCGAAAAGAAATCAAACATGGAAATTTCTGAAGAAAGAAGTCAGCGAGGCTGCATCGAAAAACTCCAAAGGCAGATCACCCAGGAATGTGAGTTGAATTTAGAGCAGTAATTCTGAGGACAGATTGTTGAAGCACTGGGTAAACTTCAAAGGATGCAGTGAGACATCTGTCCCAAGAGAGGTATCAGGGAAATGCATATTATCCCCAAGAAAGCCATTGTGGGAGAGATTGGCCATGGATGTAATGAAGGAGAAAAAATACTTTCTGCAGGAGAAAGCTCCCATAGATATGAGGTTAGTGGCCAAAACTTCAAACATAAGTCAGGATTAACTGAACATCAGAAAATTCATAATATAAATAAGACCTATGAATGTAAGGAATGTGGAAAAACCTTCAACAGGAGTTCAAACCTGATCATACATCAGAGAATTCATCCTGGAAATAAACCATATGTGTGTAATGAATCTGGGAAAGACTCTAATCAAAGTTCAAATCTTATACATCAGAGAATTAATACAGGAAAGAAACCTTATATGTGTCATGAATGTGGAAAAGACTTCAATCAGAGCTCTAATCTGGTGAGACATAAGCAAATTCACAGGCGGGAATCCCTGTAGTGCAAGAGTGTGGGAAGGCTTTTAAGGGAAGCTCAAACCTACACCCAGAGAATCCACAGTGTGGGGAAGCCATATTTATGCAATAAAGTAGTGGGAAGGCCTTCAGTCAAAGTTCACACCTTGTCCACACATCAGAGAATTCACACTGAAAGAAACCCCTCAAGTGTAATGAATGTAGAAAAAGCCTTCAGGCAAGCATTCTCACCTTACTGAACACAGAGACTCCACAGTGGAGAAACCCTGAATGTCTAGCATTGAGGAGAAGACCGTCAGTGGGCACACAACTTTCCTCAAACATCCAGAGACTGCATGGAGAAAGTTGAAGGAGAGAAACCCTATGAATGTCACAAACGTGGGAAGACCGTCAGTGGGCACACAACTTTCCTCAAACATCAGAGACTGCATGCTGGAGAGAAAGTTGAAGAATGTGAGAAAACCTTCAGCAAGGATGAGGAGCTTACAGAAGAGCAGAGACTTCACGAGGAAGAAAAAGCTTATTGGTGTAAGCAGTGTGGTAGGAATTTCCAGGGCAGCTCAGACCTCATCAGACATCAGGTAACCCATACAAGAGAGAAACCGTATGAATGTAAAGAATGTGGGAAAACTTTCAATCAGAGGTCAAACCTTGTGAGACATCACAGAATTCACAGTGGAGAAAAACCTTACATATGCACCAAATGTGGGAAATCTTTTAGGAGTAGCTCAGATCTTATTACACACCATCGTGTTCATACTGGCGAGAAACCTCATAAATGTAGTGAATGTGGGAAATCCTTCAGCCGGAGATCACACCTTGTTACACACCAGAAAATCCATACTGGAGAGCAGCCCTATCAGTGCACTGAATGTAGGAAAGCTTTCAGGCTGAGTTCCCTCCTTATTCAACATCGGCGAATTCACAGTGGTGAGAAGCCCTATGAATGTAGTGAATGTGGGAAA